CTTGAGCTGAAATGACTCAGTGTTTTTGAATCACTTGTGATGAAATGACTCAATGTTTTGAATCATTTGTGCTGAAATGACTCAGTGTTTTGAATCACTTGTGCTGAAATGACTCAGTGTTTTGAATCATTTGTGCTGAAATGACTCAGTGTTTTGAATCACTTGAGCTGAAATAACTCAGTGTTTTGAATCACTTGTGCTGAAATGACTCAATGTTTTGAATCATTTGTGCTGAAATGACTCAGTGTTTTGAATCATTTGTGCTGAAATGACTCAATGTTTTGAATCATTTGTGCTGAAATGACTCAATGTTTTGAATCATTTGTGCTGAAATGACTCGTTGTTTTGAATCATTTGTGCTGAAATGACTCAATGTTTTGAATCATTTGTGCTGAAATGACTCGTTGTTTTGAATCATTTGTGCTGAAATGACTCAGTGTTTTGAATCATTTCAACTGAATCAATATGAATCATTTGTGCTGAAATGACTCAGTGTTTTGAATCATTTCAACTGAATCAATATGAATCATTTGTGCTGAAATGACTCGTTGTTTTGAAATTTTTGATACATTTCAGTGTAGCTCCATCTTCTGGTCAAACATTAATATTACAGCTGCATAAAGGACCAGCTGTGTTGTGAACCAGAGTCTCTGTTCTGTATAATAAGACTTCTTCACACATCTTGAACATTTTGACTGTTTTCTTTTAAAAACAATAATAAAATATTACAGTACAATGTGGCAGTGCCATCATAAAACACTGTCTGTAATAAAGATGGCTGCTGCTCTGTGTTTATATCCACATGAAGAATATTGTTGATTATTCTTGTTGGGTTTAACTAAGTACAGAATTAAAATAAAACAATAATCTGTATTGTAATGATTTGTATTTAAGTCGATCATAGCAGTAACTGCAGCCCTCGAAACCTGCTTCATTTGCTGAAAMCAGTGTGAAGCAGGAGGTGTGGAGGGTAACATCACTAAAGATGTCCAAGAGGATGAATTAAMGAAAATTCAACTGGAAGCCTCTCTATACAAACTGTAATGCTAACAAATAGATCATATATGTAGCTAACATGAGTAAAATATTCAGAATAAAACTTTAGAAGTCAACATAAGTTATATAAAATGTTAAGGGCATTAACTCAGGTGAAGTACAACGTGTGGTTAGAGACAAAAACAAGTGGAGACAGCTGATTATGTCCCAGAAACCACAACAGGACAAATTTATTAGTAAAACATGAGAGGGTGAAATAATATCCCTAATGAGAAATTAACTGGTTTTAACGATGAGGTACATTTTAACACCACTTACTAAAGATTTAGGTGAACACATGTAAGCTTGTATTTATTAAATTAAAATGAGCCTGTGTGGATTAGAGAAACCCTACAGTGAAGTTATAGATGCACATCTAACTCTTGTTTTTTAAACATCACTAAAGTTGGATGTTGTATAATCACTACATCCTAAAGAAGCACAAAGCCTTAATGCCAAACATGAGTGGAGATAAACTTCTGACTAATGAAGCACGGCAGGTTTAAAACCAGATCCACTAATAAAACTGAAATAATTAAAGTCATGTATTTATTTACCTGTAAGCAGGCTGAACTGTAGTCTGCAGCAGCTGCAGCACTCCTTCATAAGGAAACATGTCCTCATACTCCATCAGCAGACCATCAGCTCCCAGCTGGGACAGCAGCTCCACCAGCTGAGGAGAGGAGGACAGCACAGTCAGACAGGTAAACAACAGGTAAACAACAGGTAAACACTGAGCTGCAGGTAAACAACAGGTAAACAACAGGTAAACAACAGGTAAACAACAGGTAAACACCAGGTAAACAACAGGTAAACAACAGGTAAACAACAGGTAAACAATGAGCTGCAGGTAAACAACAGGTAAACAACAGGTAAACAATGAGCTGCAGGTAAACACTTTACTGCAGGTAAACAACAGGTAAACAACAGGTAAACAACAGGTAAACAACAGGTAAAGACTGAGCTGCAGGTAAACAACAGGTAAACAACAGGTAAACAATGAGCTGCAGGTAAACACTTTACTGCAGGTAAACAACAGGTAAACACTGAGCTGCAG